GTTAAGCATGTTGTTCTGCTCTGATGATGTGCGTCACATGAGGGACGAAAATTCAGCAAGGATTCATCGGGGTCGCAGGGAGGTGAGCCGAGGACCTTTTCGCACAAATCTATAACTACAGTTCAGTTCTACATTCTCTCTTCTATTTTTACTATTGTGGTACTGTTCTAACGGCACCAATTTTTTCAGTGACAATGGCGGAATCGTTTACAAATTTTAGGCAAGTTTTTTTTAACGAATATACATCCGTGGTCTATTTGACTTTAAGGGACTGGTATGAGCTTCCATTTGCCTTTTTGGGAAAAGAGAATGCTTATTCCGCTGATTTTAATTCTACCTGTGCTTTTAAAATATTAAATCTAGTGGCTAATTAGAGTTTTTAGATTCAATTTGGGTCACGCAACCATATCTCTTGAAGCATCAAACAACCAGTAATTAGCCTAGTATGTTTTCTGATAGTTTCATCTCAGATTTCCACTCCTTCTTATCCTATCGTATCCCTTCTATCACTTTTCAATTCAGCAATTCTTTCACTTCCCTGATGATGTAATCATTAGCCGACTGTTTGCATTGGATACTGGTGAAGATCATGCCTTGCTGTCTACTGCCGTTTCGAACTTCTCCGCTAACTATAGTGGTGCAAATAGAAAAGGATCCTCCATAACTCAACCGCCTGCCGATTGGCACCAATCGCTCGCCCTGGCAACTCAGACAGCTTGTTTGCATGAATTGTTTATCCGACATGGCCTCGATTTCACCTTACGCCGCGAAGACTCAGCTGTCTTGACGGTGCACGAAAAACTTCAGCATACCTCGACCAAGGCGGGAATCAATCAAATATGGTAATTGGGCTAGATAACTTAAATAAGCAAAATAGAATAAATAAAGGGCGGTTAAGATTTATATTCACTTGTGGGAGTGAAAAAGGGACTAAAGGAAAGTAAGATTTTGTTTTATCTAAGGCTTTATTTCTTTGTTAGCAGCTGAAGGGAGGTTTGGTTTAATGCAAAGCTCTCAACGCACTTGGATCTTTCTTTTTTAATTGAGGTTTTAACTCATTACTTTTTTTACATTGGAATAAAAATAGGAATGGTATCTAGTGTATAAAATCGCGTAAAAATCAGACTTCGATATTCCTTTTGACTTTGAAATTATTTTACGAAATCACACGATTGAAAAATATTACAACTTTGTGCTTTTACTCGACACTTATCACTATCTTCTGCCAATATTTATGATCATTTATGAAGACTCATACGATAACTGCTTGGTTTGGGATTTTTTAGGTTATCTATTACAGAATGGTCTGAAAAGAACTTTTTTGTTTTGCAGAAATATTAAAAAGAAAATTCTTCTTATTCATAGCGCATCCAACATACACATTTTGTCGCTTATTTCTTCCGAACTTTTGTGCCAAATGTTTCAGAGGCAATTTTCTACTTACGCAATTTGCTCTACCTGCAGTACTCTATGTTATTATATTTACGATTTCAAAAGTGAAGCATGACCATTAATGTTATGGAGACTTCTAGTTGATATGCCTAAAATAGATTTAATAGAAAGTCTGATTTTGCCACACATTATTATGTCATTTGGCCTAGAGCCTCCTCTTAACCTTAGACGCTTCGAAATCCTTTGCATCTTTCAATCAATTAATATCAGGTTCTATATGCAATTTCTGCATTTACCTCTTTCACTAATAGGTCACAAAACAGGTTAAAATCTGAGCTCAATTTATTATAACTAGCTGATAAACAGAGCCTTTCCTTATGCCCTGACTTTGCTTTCGTGCATTCTCTCTTACTGGACAGGGGACATATTAAGAAAGTGGAGGATGAAAACATTTTTGGTGGAAACTTAC